TTACTGCTTAAAAATATAATATCAATTTAATATCAATATAATATTATCAATTTGTAACTCCAAACCTATTTATTTCCTGTTTCAAAAGCAGTATCCCTTTTATTGCAATTTATATAGACACATTTGCAAATCAATAAGGAACCAGATTGTCCATAATTCTCTGTAAATGGACACAGAAATGGAATATGGCTGACGGTTTGATTTTATATCTCTCTTTCCACCAGTGCAACCAATAGAATAATATAAAATCAACAAGCAAATTAATAATATGAAAACAGAATTAACATAACACTGTAGATATTAAAGTTATCTTGTTCCTTAATGAAAACCAAGGCTGCCTTTTTGATTTCAAAAATAAAGCTAGTGTAAGATTCTCTGTGAAGTGGTATACCATGTGATTTGATGAAAATAAAGTGATAACAACTTGCATGCCAGCGTGTAAAATATTTTCAGCCAAAATGGTATATTATTTTCTGAAATATGACTTTTGAATAGACTAGAATAATGAGAGCCTGCATTCCAAAATATATGAAAGATATATGAATATATGAATATATATGAAAAATATTTGATTGAAGACTTTGTATCTTTCAGAAATAGTTATATGTTGCAATTAAAACTTTAACCATATCTGTTTGTCTTACAGCACCGGGTGCACACTATTCTAAATGCTGATATGATTATTGTCATGAAGAGAGGAGTTATTTTGGAATATGACAAACCAGAAGTTCTGCTGGAAAAAGAGGACAGTGTGTTTGCTTCTTTTGTTCAAGCAGACAAATAGATCCAATATAAGTGATTAAACCATTTGAAAGGACAGTTTTATTATCAATTTTTCTAATTATGTAAAATATCTGTAAATAAAAAATATTTAATAATGAAAAGCTTATTCTATAAGTTCTTGAGAAATAAAGTACAATTGCTTTACCTTTTAAGTGTGAGCATCTTACTTCTCCAGTGGGAGCTATTGAGTTATATATATTTTCTTTTCCCCTGATTTATCACCAAGTTTCATAATAAAAATTTAAAAAGAAATAAAATCAAGTTTGCATGATGAGATATTTAAATTAATGCTCTGCCAGATGTTAAAAGCTAGCATCTTACATTAAGTCATTTCTATCTCTAATAGGCAAAAACTACACCAGCAAAATAATTCTGTAGCTACACCTGTAGTCATGTACGTTATGTATATTTGAATATCACATGGATATGGAATACAGTTACAACCACAATTAAGCCCAAAATTTCTCTTGCTAAGTGACACATTTGTTGAGAGTTTCACCCCATTTTATGACCTTTCTTGCCACAGTTGTTAAGTGAATCACTCAAGTTAGTAACACAGGTTGTTAAGAGAATCTGGCTTCCACATTGACTTTGTTTGTCAGAAGGTCGCAAAAGGAGATCACATGATCTTGGGACACAACAATGGTCATAAATATGAACCAATTGCCAAGCATCTGAATTTTGATCTTGTGACCATGAGGATGCTGCAATGATCATAAAGAAGAAAAATGGTCATAAGTCACATTTTTCAGTACCTTGTAACTTTGAACTACAAAGTTTGAGAACTACCTGTACATGTTGGCAGGATAATAGACAATTTTAACATAAAACAGTTTCCCAAATTACTGCGACTTCAAGCCACTGGCCGCTGTACTGGTCAAAAGTAGTTAAATGAAAATATAATGCAAAATCTGGTACACAGAAGCAGACGTTATCTGCCAAAAACTGAACGATTAGCTCCTATTAACAATTTAGCTCATGAAATAAAATAATACAGATTATAATTGCCAAATGTGCATACTACAGCTTACTAAAGTTTTGCATAATTGACCACTGGTAATCATGTGGCATGTTAAATATCAGTCTTCACACTTTTTATTTATTTTAAAATCTCTACATTTCAATTTTAAATTCTATCAAAACCTTTATGGTTCCTAAATATGTAGAAACATGCCATTAGTATGGACAGAAGACTCATCCATGTTTTAAAATATTTTTTATTAAAAGTATTATGCAATAATAAAAATAAGCCTAAAAGAAAAACAGCAAAGAAACAAAGAAAAAAGAGAAAGAAAATAGGAAAGTAAAGTAGGGGTGTCAAACTCGATTTCATTGAGGGCCACATCAAAGTTGTTTGCCCTCGGGGGGCCAAGGTGGGAGTGGCCAGTTTGACGTCACTCGTGTTGGGGGCACCTATGATGGCCTGAGTGCTCTCCCAGCAAAAAAGGGCTCCCAAACTCCATTTCAGCTGCGACAGCCTCCTGCAACCCTCTGTCAGTGAAAACTGAGCTCAGAGAACCACACGCAGCCCTCCCAAGCTCCATTTTTGCTGGCAGAGGCACTGTGGGCCAATCCTTTGCTGTTTCCAGAATGGCCCCACAGGTCAGATTTAAGCACCCCACAGGCAAGATCTGGCCCCCGGGCCTTGAGTTCGACACACCTGAAGTAAAGGATCAGCTTCCAATCTTATTTGAAGCAATTCAAATAAATGTATTGTCTATCCTTTCTCTTTAAGATTATATCATAGTTCCCTTCAAGGTTCACTCATTTTCCAGTAGACCCACGAGCCATTCATCCTGAATGCTCTGTTTTCCGACCACAAATTTCTATGCTATTTATACACACTTTTATCGGCCTGCACAGTACATTATGTCCTAAATGTGACAGAAAGATTTTCATTGTATTTGCACCCCATATTATACTTGGTTAAGAAGCGTGCACATGTTGGGGGAGATTCTGCCTGCCTGAGGGAAAGAACACACTTGGTCTGTCAGAACTGACCTGCTGCTTAGCACAGAAAAATAAAGTAGAGAGTCTGTCAAGCTATGGAAAGGGCAAGAGGAAAATCTGCTGATTTTAAAACACACAAGCTGTCAGAAGGGAATCAAGGGGTAAAGAGTAAATATTCTGTATTATCCCAGAATCACTTCTCACTGGATGGTGGTTGCAGAGAAAAATAACAGAAGGTAATATGATGGTCCCCACCTTGAGTTCCTGAAGGAAAGGCAGGCGCTAACTCTAAGTAGAGGAAGTATTTGTGGAAGTGTAATATTTAGGTTATGCATCATTGAGATACAATTTGGTACAGGCTACAGTACAGGAGACTGGAAGTTCTAGTCCTTTCTTAGGCATGAAAGCCAGCTGGGTGATTTTGGGCTATTTACTTCATAGGGTTGTTGTTGTGGGCAAATTAAAGAAGGAGGAGCATTAGGTACGTATGCTGCCTTGTATTGCCAAAAAATACTGGGTGGGTGGGTGGAAATCGAATAATAAATAACTGGAGACAATGTAGCACTAAGAAGGCTCCTCTAAGTAGCTTTTTGGCTTAGCTTATCTGAAAGCACAGTCTGAAGACAGTACTGTTCATTGCACTGCTGTTTTCAAATCCTTTTCTAAAATCTGTCATACCAAGTTTGCTTTTTCCAATGATCCTGCAAACTGAACTATTCAAATTTATCAAGAAAGAAACCGAATAGCAGAGGAACTTTGGAATACCATGGGTATTTGGACTACAATCTGTAAAACGTAACTTTATAGTGCAGCCATTGTATACTAAAGTATGCTGAAATTAGCAGTTCGTATGAAATGCAACTTTGTAAAAAAGTATAATACAGATGTGTCCAATCCGCAACCCATGGGCTACATGTTTTACACACACACACACACACACACACACACACTATTGTGTGTATAGGTAGTCCTCGACTTCCAATTCACAATTGAGCCCAAAATTTCAGTTGCTAAGTGAGACATTGTTTCTTGCTAAATTGTTTCTTGCTAAATTGTTAAATGACTCACTGCAGTTGATGAGTTAGTAACCTGCTTCTCCATTGACTTTGCTTGTCAGAAGGTTGCAAAAGATGTCACATGACCCACGACACTACAACCTGCATTAATATGAGACAGTTGCCAAGCATCTGAATTTTGATCACATGAACAAACTTTTTTCAGTGCCACTGTAATTTGGAACAGTCACTAAATGAACTTCTGTAAGTCGATTACTACCTGTATTTTATATGTGGCCCAAGACAATTCCTCTTTATTCAATGTGACCCAGGCAAGACAAAAGGTTGGAGAACCATGGTATAAATAATACAATAAAGAAGCTGGGCTTTTATTTCCTTAAGTCAGGTGAATTGCAGATCTGTTGTCCTGCCTCTTTTTCTCACTCCAACAGTAAATTCATACTTCAATGTTTATGTTTCATGTCTGAATAGAACAGCTGTAATAGAAGTATTGTATTTACCTGTGAATCAATTTCACCGACCAGAGATTATATCTTTTCTTTTAGGAGAATATAATTCAAGAAAATCTCACTTCTACCTTCTTAGGGAAGGTGAAAGGCAGGCAACCTCCCAATTATTGGTGCACTGTACCCTTTAATAGACCAGATATCGAATGCTTGAGGTTGATTTTGAGGGGGAGAATGAACACCTTCTCCAACCCACCCGACTCTTAGCGGCGGGCGACACTCTGCCATCCAGGAGTTCTGCCTGCGCTGATCCTGAGGGAGAAACCTTCGCGCTGAGATTCCCCGGCGCGAGAGCGCCCCCTGCCGACTCTATTTGTCTTCGGATTAGAGAACGGGTGGTTCGAGCGAGGCGGCGACCACCGCCGCCGCTGCCACCTGACGACTCCTCGCGTGGGGTTTCCTCCAAGAGCCGGACAACCCTTAGTTGGCTTGCCGCCCTTCGCTGTCAGGAGCAAGTCACGAAATGCCGCCGCCTCGCCAAAGTCGACGCGAGCTGTGATTGGCGTGCGCAGCTGGAGGAGCGGGGAGGGTGGGTGGGTTGGGGGAAGCGGACGGCGCTCGCCGGGACTGGCGGGGCGGAGAAGGGGGAGTCGGGCCAGGGCCGTGCGACCGCCGGCGAAGAGGCCTTGGGGCTCCGTTGGCTGGCGTCCCCCTCCCGCACCCCCCCGCAGCAGTGGCGGGCACGTGGCCGTAGCCGGGGCAGGGAGGGTCGCTGGTGGTGGGAGGGTGGAAGCCCATGCCAACCATGCTGTCCAGGAAGGGGATCATCCCAGAGGAGTACGTGTTGACCCGTCTGGCCGAGGATGTCCCGGATCACACGCGCCACCGGACCCGGGAGCGGCGGGCCAGGTTCGTGGGCAAAAACGGGGCGTGCAATGTGGCGCACAAGAACATCCGGGAGCAGGGCCGCTTCCTGCAGGACGTCTTCACCACCCTGGTGGACCTGAAGTGGCCCCACACGCTCATCATCTTCACCATGACCTTCCTGTGCAGCTGGCTGCTCTTCGCTATGATCTGGTGGCTCATCGCCTTCGCCCACGGGGACTTGGACCACAACACCCAGCAGCTGCACCTTCAAGCCGGGCTCGAGGGCCGGGAGGCGGCGGCGGCGGCCCCCTTTGTGCCTTGCGTAACCGACATCCAATCCTTCACCTCCGCCTTCCTCTTCTCCATCGAGGTGCAGGTGACCATCGGCTTCGGGGGCCGCATGGTGACGGAAGAGTGCCCCGTCGCCATCCTCATCCTCATCGTGCAGAACATCGTGGGGCTGGTGATCAACGCCATCATGCTGGGTTGCATTTTCATGAAGACCTCGCAGGCGCACCACCGCGCCGAGACGCTCATCTTCAGCAAGCACGCCGTGATCGCCCTCCGCGGGGGGAAGCTCTGCTTCATGCTGCGCGTGGGCGACCTGCGCAAGAGCATGATCATCAGCGCCACCATCCGCATGCAGGTGGTGAAGAAGAGCACCAGCCAGGAGGGCGAGGTGATGCCCCTCAACCAGATCGAGATCCAGATGGAGAACCCGGTGGGAGGCAATAGCATCTTCCTGGTCTCCCCGCTCATCATTTACCACGTCATAGACCGGAATAGCCCCCTGTACGAGGTGGCCCCCACCAGCCTCACTCACCACGAGGACCTGGAGGTGATTGTCATCCTTGAAGGGGTGGTGGAAACCACGGGCATCACCACCCAAGCCAGGACCTCCTACCTCGCCGATGAAATACTTTGGGGCCAAAGGTTTGTGCCTATCGTGACGGAGGAGGATGGACAATACTCCGTAGACTATTCCAAGTTTGGCAACACGGTGAAGGTGCCCACTCCAAACTGCACAGCCAAGCAACTGGAAGAAGACCGGAGTATCATGGACACTATATCCTTGTCACCCAAAGGCACCATCAGGAAAAGGTCTGTCAGGTTAAAGCCCAAATTTACCATATCTGAGGAGACCTTATGACAACTCGGTGGACTTGCTTGTGACAGCAGGCATAAGAGACTTGGAGGCAGCCTCTGTTTCATTTTTCAGGTTGGTTCCATCGGTATGTGGACTACATGTAATGTTTGTGGTGCAAGACAAAGTGCGCGACTCAGGGTATAATGTCAGGAAAACTGAGTGTGCATAAAGCTTTCTTCTGTACTGTATTTGCACTTGAGATAGGTAAACCTCTCAAAAAGATAGACATCTCTTTTTTTTTCTTCTTGAGAAATTATTTTGGGATTGAATTAGCTTTTTTCCACAATGAAGAGGCACTTACACTGTAATCAGCTATTTATACTTACGAAAAGACAGTATAGGCGCAAGGGTGCCCATTGAGGTGGCGATGCTATACTGAATGAATAAATGTATTGATTTAATTCATAAATGATAACTGCATGCTTTCTTTTATTGCCAGTGGATTAGGAGGTATGTTGGCTTATGGATATGCAATAGATGATATAATAAAGTTAATTCCACATGTTGTGTTAGGATATAAGGGGGAAAAAGATTTTTTTTTTAAAGTAGATAATTAGGAGGGAAAGCAGTCACAGTTGTGATCTGCAAAAGAAAAAAATGAATTTCTGAGTAGTAAAATCCTATCCAGATCTACTCAAAAGTAAGTTCCACTGAGTTCAGGAGGGCTTATTTTTAAATCAGTGAATATAGGATTTTAACTTCAGTGGGTTTAGAGTCACCTTTTAGTCACCTTTTGCTGCTATCCCAATCTTTTTACTGTAAAATTAAACACTGTATATTATTTGTATGAATAATATTAAATTAATGTGGGGCACTTTTATATAACTTAACTGCAGGAGTAGCTCCTTCTGTATGAATGTTATAACCAAAAATTGATCTTTCCAACTTTTTGAAAAAGGATAACATTTGAAAAAATATGGATATTTTTAAGGAAAGAATACTGGGTAACCAACTGGTTTTTCATCTTCCTCGTTGCCTTGATTTTCAGTTCCAATAATATTCACTGACAAATAGAAGCAGTAGGGTTGACATAGGTGATCCTAGCTGTCATGTGAATTCTCATCTCTATTGAATGACATCATTTAACAAGCTTGCATCAAATTTTATTTATTTTAATTGATGGTTTTTTAAAAACCCTGCAATGTTGGACCTGGATGAGGGAGAACCAAGATTCAAATTCTACTCAACCATGAAATTCCCTGCTAACCTTGGGCCAGTGACTTTTGCTGTAGCCATACCTACCTCACTGAGTTCTATCTATGCTGCCTTGTCTCTTTGGAGTGAAAGCATGCTAGAAATAAAATAAATATATGTTATATTAATTGGTACAGAATGAGGACATATTGAGGTGGGGGGCAATTAACCAGTTTACCAGAATAGGTCAGGAACTTAATTAATCTAACAGATGTACAAAGGTTAGAAACATTAAATTCCATAATTTATTGCTAGTATACAGTTAAGGATTAGGCATGGTGATGTTATCAAAAAAAGATGTTACTTTATTTACCAAACAGCATACTATATGCACTGAACTCCAAAGATAAAGTCTTAATGTATTTAAAATTAGCATGTATATATTTAATTATAATTGCATGCCTTAGTTTTTACTTGTAATAATAAGGCAATATTTTTATGTCATCAGTAAATCAGAAATGTCTGTAACATGGAATAAAGTGGCATAACCATGTTAATTTTATAGACCAATAACCCCAAAATAAAAAGTGCATTTGTTTAAAAAAAATACTAAAGTGTGTGGTTTAGTATAATTGACTATTTTTATATGTCATGTTTACAATTTCTGCATTTGTGCCCTTTTGTTCTAGGGATGTGTGCACTCTTAATTTCCCAGATGATCCTATCAGTCTTTGCAATATGCCTCTATTTAGTTATTGTTAAATAGTTTCATATATAACTTTGCATTTATTGTGGTTAAGAAATTTGAGAACTTTAATCAAAAGGTAATAGATGTGCTTTTATTTCTGAATTCCAATCTCTAGCAATGCCCACATATTGATTCTGCTTCTTTGGGAACACAATTGTATAGAATTACTTAATTTTTGGTTAATGTAATTAATTTTATAAAAGGGGGATAATTAAACTCATCCTCCCTTTCCATATCTCAAACCACATAAGATAAGAACATTTTTTCTAGCAAACTGCCCTTATTCTAGAGGCTGAATGAGCCATTGCATAGTTTAACTAATTAACTAGCCAATCTTGAGGGTAACTATTTTGTCCTTTATTAAAAGGTATAATTAGCCACAGGAGTTAATAGTGATATAAAAAAGAAAGAAAACAAGCAAGTTACAAGTCAAAACATTCAAATTTATTTTGGAAAAAAATTCAGCTCTGTGTCAACTCATAAAACATTTTCTATATATGTTTTATAGTTGCCATTCATGAATCTTTTCTCAGTCATTCCTGAGGTCAGGAGGATGAAGTTTCAATCTTAATTAACTATAGATGGGCCTCAGAAACAATATCCAAGGAAAAGATTCAAAGGCTAAATAAAAAAAGGTAAAAGTAACTTCAGCATCTTCTTCAGAGATTTCCTGCTGCATGGCAGTTGTCCAATTCCAAAAACTCAGGGAACCTTTAGAGCAGCCTCTGATGAAGTGGGAAGAGCAGCAATCCAGAAATAAAACTGAACAGAACGGCTGTATGTGGAAAACCTTTTCACTCTTAGGCCTATATTGTTTTTTGATCTTTCCACCCAGGAAGTATATCAAAGCCGCCACCACCCCACCTTACACAACCTTGTGTTCCTTCTTGTACAGCCAGAGGGTTATTATTTTTTTTTGCATATGTGTAGTTGGGGACTATGAACATCATTCAGAACCAGCCTCCTGGACTTTCTAGCATCTAACAGCTGGAACATGGAAATCTACAGAGGTTTCATTTCAGAGATAAACTGAAGCACGTTCTTAATCTTCATTTTGTCCGAGGTGTCTCTGAAGTCTGATTCCAGGCTTGCTTGAGTTTCAAAGTAGTGCTCCACCTTCACCAGAACAAAAAAAAATAATCGGAGCTGTCACTCAAACTCTTGTTAACCTGCTCCTGGTGCTGCTGCATTAGATGGTATCTTCAAATAGTACAGCAGGTGGTTTCCTTCTCTTCACCCCTCATTAACTGTCATCTAAGTCATGGGAACTGTCACATTCAACATCTGTTGCATGCTTTCATGTGGCAAATTTCTTACGCAAAATTTCTACCAGGAAAGATTGAAGAAGCTACTTAGATGAGCAGCGAAACGTTTCAAACCCAAAAAGAGAAGAAGTCCTGTTGCCATGACTAAACTTCCAAGCAACTCTACTTGGATGACTGAGAATCTTCACTGACATATTCTACCTTGAAACTATATGAGGGGATCTTCTATAGTTAAGATTGTGATAGCATTTGTTCACTTAACATACATTTTCCTTTAACATACATTCAAATCATGGTTTGGTCACTTACAAATTTAGGATGCACATCTATACTTCCAGTTCTATATAAGATGATCACTTTTTTCCTAGCTACTCTTCTGTTCTTAATCTTCCACTTTTAATTAGAATAAGATCAAAACCTACTAATTATCAAATGGACATGGCTTGGAGGATTTCTATTCCAAACGGGATAGGACATTCAGAGCTTGCCAACAAATGATTGCTTAGATTCTGTTTGAACTCCAAACCTCTCTTTGTGACTCCATTATTGTCTTCATTCCATCACAAGGTTTCTCCTAGTCTTCAACTTCTCCTACTATAAGAAAAGCCCAAGCCATCTAGTCTCATCATCTGGGCAGCAGAGAACAAATGTTTGTCCTTTTCCCTGTTGACAGTTCTGTGAATAATGAAGAAATGCTATCACCCACTCTATTAAAACTGATTTGGTTGACATGGGATCAATATTAGTTTAAATTCAAAATAGCTTTGTACTGTTATTAATGGGATATCTTTATATCTGTTCTTCTAGCAATCCCAACAATTTTGAGGCTTTAGTTCCAAAGCGAGAACTGTTCAACAAAAAAGCAGAAATAAGGATTGAGAAATGCTTATGTAGAGCACTTCATCCTTGTGGTTGTTTTGAATCTAAAATTTAAATCGGATCTAAATTTAGTTTTTTGAAATAGTTTGGATTTTTTTCTGTTTTTATGGTGTAACTGCTAGGAGTAATTTTCTGAGTCCAAAGATATGAAAACATAATAAATAAATATTAACCCCATTGTACAGGATGTAGATAACATATATGTGTGAGAGAGAATGAGGATCAACCTAATCAATCCACTTCAGGATTAAGATCGCTTCAGTGAACATTATAAATGTAATCTACCATCTTGGTTCAATGTGGTTTAGTGGATTTCAGAAACTAGGGTTGAGAAAGAAAGTCTGGTTCACAGTTACCCAGCCAGCTATGCTTCAGCATGGAGCAGAACTTGCATCTTAGAGCATGTGCCCAGCAAATAACTAATGTATATTTCTCCTCAGCTGAGAGATTCAAAGCTCCTCCAGACTCCAAGCCAACTCCTATTAATTCCCAGAGTTTGGAGAATTTCCTAAATTCAGGAATCACCTGCCATGTGGAAAAGTGGGATGAATGCTATGAAATATTGCTCATTCCTAAACAATACATCTCGGAGGGAATGAAGGAACTGTTTTTGCCTTAATGATTTGTTAAATCAATTAGAAAATCAATACAAATGCTATAAACTATAATCTTGGCTGGCCAAGGACATTGAAACATGGCTCAGATTCAAATACATAGGGGCCTAATGCCAAGTGCATTCCTTCACGGTATTGGGTGGGAAATAAAAATGGTAACAAAAACAGAAATATGAGCTATTTGTTGAATTTTGGATAAAATGACATTGTATTCATTTCAATTTCAAAGAAAAAGTCTTTTTTTTTTAAAAAAAAAAGGTAATGCTTTTCAGAACAATAGTTTGATTTCCTAAACAGTCCACACATATCACTAGAATTTAGAATGAATTTTTCCAGAAATAGGATTCTCATTTTTTTTCCTTTGGTGTATTTTATTTATTTATGTATTAAATTTATTTGTTGTCTATCTTGCTCTGGGGCTATTCTAGGTGGCTCCAGGTGCTGTCTTGAAAACTTGAAAACTCCCTCACCCCCACTGCATCTATAGAGATCTATAGAATTCCAGTGAGAGTTCTAGTCCTGCTCTGGGCACAGAATCAGCTGGATGATTTTGAGCCAGACACACTCTCTCAACCCTAGGAAGGACGCAATGACAAATCATTTAAAAAATCTTGCCAAGAAAACTGCAGTGACTTGTCCAGGCAATCACTAGGATCCAACACATAGACACACAGATAACGGGAGTGGGGAATAGTAATTTAATATCTAACAATGCAAAAGCTGCTTAGCAATGGGGGAGGTAGACTCTGCTTTATTGGAGACTGGCTGCTCAAAGGTTTGGGATGCTATAATAATGCATTTCAGCTCTGGTCAGAGATTTAGCCAGATAATCTGCATTTTTCAAGCTCTATATGATTTTTGAATAAAATGGGGGTTATTAACAAGACCAAAAAGACAATAAGGAAACACAATATAAGCAAATGTACAATTTTAAAAAATAAATAAATTTTCAATTGGTCGAAATAAAATGAGGATTTGAATCCTAAAAATAAAAATAAATCCTTAGGAGGTAATCATGCTGCAGTCATCCATTCCCTTGAAAGTAAATCATACAAGTCTGTCTTGCAATGCAAAAGGTTATAGCAGCAGTTTGGTTTGGTTTTTTTTTTAAAGAAATCTAACACCTAAGACAGTGCCAAGGAGTTGATCAAGTGTATGTATCCATTTGGACAGTTCTAATCTATCTGGAGTGTAGGGGACTGGATCCAGACCAGCCTTCTTTCTTAGTGACAGCACCACCCACTGATTCAGTTTTGCCTGGAGAAAGACCATTACATTCTGACACAGTATGCCCATTAAGGTTGAAATCAGCCTTCCCCAACCTAGAATCCTCCAGGCCTATTGGATTACACCTCCCATCATTCCACACCAGTCTGAGCACATTGAGTTTTGGGGATTGTAGTTCAGCATATCCAGAAAGCTTCAGAATGGAGAAGGATGCATGGTTGAAACTTCCTCCTGAGCTGAATAAGGTAGAGCCTGAAACATGCAAGTACCTGGTTTGCCATGCAGGAATCCAGAAACCATCCCATATTTGGAAGTTCAGCACAGCTGATGTCCCATAATAGGAAAGCCTGGCAGGCTGTAAGATAACAACTTGTACGCTTAGAACTGAAGAGAGGGAGGGATCTCGCACAATAACATCTCTGTTGTTCTCACTTGTTGGTTATTGTGTGAGTTTCTGGCTAAGCTCAGAGGCAGAGAATTGCAGTGGGAACTCTTCTAATCCATGGTTGGAGGGGATCTTCATGAAGTGGGTGTTCTCTCACCATGGCCAATCTGTTCAGTGGACAACTCCTGAAGAAGCTGCAGGGATATGTGAACAATAAGAACCAAACATGGTGCCTCCTTTACTAGGTAGAACATTGAGAGCATGATCCAATGGCCTTCTGCATCAAGTTTATGCGACACAATAACAGCCACATGAGAAAGAGCGGACAGTTTAGTCCAGGGAGAAAGAACTGACTGAAACGTTAAAACAAATAATAGAAGATGAGATGCCCAGTTTATTTGCCTCAGCCAAGGTAAATTTTCTTGTTTATATTTTGCTTCTGTTAAAGGTAGCACACGTTAGAAGGCCACAGGCTTGACTGTCCCTTCTCACTTCATGGGTTTGAAATGCAAAGCATCCAGAGTTGGTGTAATAGGAGCAGAGCTGCGTAAGTGAATAAACACTTTGGTATGTCCTAAAGACATGGCCTCTGTCAGAGGAGCCCTCACCACACAGGAGGCATTCCAGCAGCTGTCTCTTGATGTGCTTCTGAGTCCCATCACGACTAAGGTGGAATAAACAAGCACATGTGAATGAGCAAGGAGTTTGAGGAAAATAATCCTAAAACTCCCACCTCCTTCATTAAACTTTTAAATTTAAACTTGACTAAACTCCTTCATTCACCATTAAACTGACTAATTTCCAATAGCAAAGCAAAAATAATTGTTCCTCAGAGATCACCACGTGGATATTTTATATAATTGGATTCCCAGTCTGTCACCTTTCATTGTAGATTCTTTTTCTCAATATGAAATATTGCAGAGTAGCAATACTTCACATCACCTGCAGCTCATCCTGATCTGCTGGGAAAGCTCTTCCTTCAGCCTTGAAAGACAGAAGCGATCAGAGAAACAAAGAAGGTAAGAAAAAGAATGGGTGGCCCAACCTACTCCACTCCACTCCCTGATAGCTTCACCCCTACTCAGAACACGGAGCTCAGCAGACTCTACCTACAATATCCCATTACTGCAACCTTGTGTAGCTTGGCATCTCCTTGATCTCTTCAGCTGCAACTCCCATTATGCCTGACCAAAATCTATTCTCAAGGATAAAGTCTACGTTATTAAAAGGAGGAAAAACAGTTTAAATTAGCTATAATGTTTTTAGAGGAATGCAGCCCAGAGTCATGTTGTTTTGAATTGGACAGCCTTATAATTCTTAAAAATAAATGAGTAAATAAGTAAGTAAGCAAGCAAGCAGACCGTCCTAAGCTGGTTGAAACTTATAATTCAAGAAACTTCTCTGGAAAAGAGAAAGTCAAAAGAACCAGGTTTTGGGTGGCGCTGAATTCACACATTGCTTTAACCAGTGGGTTCTTTTAATCGTGGTTGCTTGAACAAGCCACGATGGCTAGATTCACAGAACACGCTATACTATAAAACTTGAGTTAGTAATCACAATATCTGGATTCACTCGGGACGTTAAGCTATAAGGGAATTTGCTTGGCTTTGTCTTAGTAACCAGCTCATATGACAAGTTGTACTTCTCAGGTTCCTTCATCTGTACCACATTTGAACAATTTGGTTTTCTTTGCAATGCGTTGCTTGTGCCTTCTTGTAGCCCCACTGCCTCTTTATTTCATACCTGGAGTGGGGGAGGGAAACTGGGAAGATAACTTGAGATTGGGCAGAACACAGGAATATCCTGAAGAGGGACTGAACTAATGCCGGTTTGTTTAAATTAAATCCATGATTAAATATGTCCCAGTTCTGAAGCGGTCCTTGCATTTCGATTAATGAGAAGACAAGCCTGCAAATTTGAAATGGTGTTTAGACATTTCAGTTACTGTGCAGCAAATGATGCTGTACTATTTATGATTATTTGGCAAGAAGGGGTTATGTAACACAAAAGTATATGTCCTATCTCAGATTATGGCTAATATAAGACAGAACATCAAGTTCAGTTTGTGGCTCTTCAGCTTAATGAGGAATAACTTAAGGAGCATAGATTTCTTATGTGTGTAAACACTTCCTAGCAGGGTGTTCTTTCTATGTCTGTTTTTAAAGTCACTATAGCCCTAGCAGGATGATTGGATTGGAAGAGTTCTGATAAGCAATGCTAGCATGGATGATTGATTCAAAGGATCTGCAACTCCTAATCAGATAATATGCAGAATTTTGATAGCTGTATATAGAATTCCATTAAAGAGTAATTTTTGTGAGATGGGCAGCCATATAAATTCGATATATAAATAAAACTAATGCCAAATCAAAAACTTCATTTTTTTCCACATTGCAGATTTCTTAGCTGCCTATTTCCTTCCTTCCTTCCTTCCTTCCTTCCTTCCTTCCTTCCTTCCCTCCCTCCCTCCCTCCCTCCCTCCCTCCCTTCCTTTCTTGGTTTTTGAAGCACCAAATGGACCATAAGTTTAGGTACTGTAAATCTACTTAAATTCTTTCTTCAGGATTTTTTTGTAGGCTGTCTCTGAAATATGGGACTAAAAGAGATGAAAGAGAGCCTGATGGGTTTCGGAGAACGTAATTTTTAATAGAGGTGTGTCATTTCTTTTGCATTCTTAAACTGAAATAACTTCTGATAAAAACAGTGTGGAGCTATTTTTTTCACAAGAAATCAGACCACACTTCAACAACCACCAGCAGCCAATCAAACAGTCTAAAACCAAACTATGACTCAGAAGTATCCAAACAAACAACAACTCATTTACATCACACAGATGGTACTTAAAACCAAAGACCGTGCCTCAGTAACAACAGCCATTCAATCAAACAGTCCGAAATCAGACCGTAACTGAGAAATAGCCGAACAAACAACATCCACACTGATTTGCATCAGATAAAAAGGTATTTAAAGGCCAGTGTTCTGACAGACAAGCACAAATCAAAGCGCACTGACAATGTCTCCCCAAATGGTGATGAAAAGTTTGCAACCAAATTGCCAAGCTTGGAGCTCAAACCAACAGCCCAACTGCCAACCTGAGCTACTAATATTCAAACACATTTCAGTGTGGAGCTATTACAATAATTTAACTTTTTAAAAATATATTTCTCTTTTGATTATTTATTATTAAATTATACACTAATAATATGTCCTTTGATAAAGTATATATTATGAAATGAAATGAGTATATCCAGAGGAGTGATGAGGTAGGAGTAGATAAACAGAGAAGTCTAACTTCTAATCATTTGTCCGCAAGATGAATTTTAAAAACTTTTCCTTAACTTTTATAATAAATTCAATTTTATCATGAGAGGGTCATCTTAAATTGGTCAAAGATATAATAATAAAGACTGAACTATTTTTATCTGTTTAAATATTTGACTGCTATTTCCAATTTAAAATCTTGGACAGAATTACAGGAGTTTACAATTGTAATTAAATAAACTGTAGTTAAAACAAGTATAAAACCACCCATTAAATTAATCATGGAGGAGAAAAGTGGCAATATTATTTATAAAAGTATAAATTTAATGTTTTAATTTTTTATTTAAAGTACAAGTATTTATTTTTCTATTTTTTCTGAATTTTTAAAAATGATAGCATGCTGTAAACAAAATGTATTAATATCTTTTCTTTTTTTTTAATATAAATTGTATTTGGGTTTTCCCAAAAACATATTACAAATAAAACATCTTTTTTTGAGAATAGCATGATCCTGGTTTACCACTTCTTCATACACACACAAACTCAATTTCATATTCACCTGTGTGTTCTATTCCATATCTTATTACTATTTTAACATTTTCTCCATAATTTTTTCCCTCCCTTGGTTTTCTCAACTTTATTTTTAATTATCTCATATCTAAATTCAATTATATATCTTTTTCTAAGTTTCAATGTCTTTCCAATCATTATATTTATACTTTTGTCTGTCCTGTTTCAATTTCATATTATCTTTTCTCATTAAACAAATTTTCCCCTGTAGTTACTATTGGAGTATGACACCTTTATATCTTTTAATTTTATCCATTCAACTCTTATTTAAACTTCAATTTATGCCTTTAAAATTATAACATGCAATATAGTACATAACTTCCAATTGAATTCTGCTTGGTACATTCTTAAAATACACATTATGTTCATACACACACACACACACACACACACACACACAAGTTATTCAGCTTTGTTCGGTTATTTTCTAAAAATTGAAATACGAAGCCAAAAGAACCTCTTCCTTCTTGTGCATCTTCTTTCTGTTTTTTAAGTTCCATTTTCAGTTCTTCTAAAAGTGATGCCATTTGAAACACTTTTAAACAACCACCCAATTGATTTTAGTCATTCAAATCCATTAGCCAAAAATCCAAAAATCACTAAGTAATCCAAATAATCCAAAACTGTTTCTTCTTGCTTCTTTTTTCCACTTTCTCTTCCTGGGGTTCTATTATTTTGTTACAATGTTTCAATTAGAATGTATCTTTTAGGAATCTTGTTAAGGTTTCACTCTAAGTTCCTTTTAGTTCCAGGCAGTCTCCTCCATTTTTCCAGATGCCGCCCTTTTATTCTTTCCTTTTCTCTCCTACCCTGCTTTTAAAGGTATTTGAGTATCCAAAAGTCTTTGTTATCATTTTGACATTTTATTTTCAGCTTAAATGCCTTTTGATGCCAAAGTGGATTTTTGTCAACTTCTTACTTAAATCTCTTAGCTGTCAGTATAAGGAAGGGAAAAGTGCCATTGCAGATGCCACTGCTTCTGAGAAGAATCCACTCTAGCAACCATACTAAGAATCTTCTGATTTTAAAAAAATTACATGGTACAAACATTTATGGACTAGAGCCATTTATGGACAGATCATCAAACAATTTTTCATTATCTTCAGTCTGTCAGTCTCTTAGCTTTAAAATGGTGCTATCAGTATGTCTCATACAAACAGAATAATGTGTGGCCATCACGCAGGAATTTGAAGAAAAAAAACTTTGCTTGTTAAAATAAGTCTTCCCTATTTGTGGCTCACTTTTTGAATTTTGATATATTTTTTCAGAGTTTCTGTCTTCTAATATAGATGGCATCTACCACACCAGCAAGATGAGAACTGACATAGTTTGGGAAACTTTTATGCTTTCTTCCAGGCAGCATACTTCAATCCTGTGCCAGATGCGGTTTTAGATCCATTATAGTTAGATACTTCCTTTCTTCCCTCTGTGCAGACAGATATGGATAATTAAGTCATAATAAATTTAGAGCAATGTGGGAGTAGGCTAGATGCTACTCAAGAGGTGATCTGAATGTTCATACAACCTCCTGATCTGAAGTAAAGGACCATCATTAGTACCATAGTTATATACTGATTATGGGCTATTTAGCATCTTGGTCAGTACCTATCAAAAGGTGGCTCAAAGACCCATAGGAGTCCCAACCAAACCCTCTCAGAGGTCTGCCAATTCAAAATTATTTGCCAGCCCATGTTGAAAAATAAAACAATATAAAAATCCCATCAAATATCTATGAGAAACATTAGTGGCAGTGACTGTATCAATTTTAATTTTCAATAGGATAAATATTGATATATATAACCCATATAAACAAAAGCACTTTTAAGGTTCTCCATAACTTTTAAAGGTAGGAAGGGGTACTGAGACCAAAAAAATGTAACACTGATGTGGGTCACAGTTATCAACAGCCTGAATAAGTAGATACAGCAAATGACTTGCTTTCGCTCAGTAATGTCTAGGGTGGAGTGACTAATAGGCCACTACAGAGCCCTTTTCTTTATAAAGCTAACACTGCTTACACTACAGTTTTTCTCTTTCCATTGTTATTATTTATTGAGAGAGAATTTTGGATCCATTACAACAATTGGGAGACAACTACACATTCAGTTGTTGGAAAATAGTCAATGGTCTGGATACTCCTTCAGTAAATAAAGTATTTTATATAGGTATTCAACTTACTTGTTGGATTCAGTGTTAAGCTTTTATCCTCAGTAGATGTTGAATGTTTAACTTCACATCGTATTGTATTCCCAAAGGCCAGTGTTTGGGCATCTAAGTGTACTTTACTAACAAAATAACATAAGTGATCTTTTCCAATCTCAATATTCCTGGGATTGATATTTTCAGAAATTTGTCTCCAGCCTTGGTACCATCTGACTTGTATATCAGGAGGTGCAAATTGTGATATAGAAATTTCAAAAACATTCTGATGATCTGGGGTCGCCTTTATTTCAGACAAAATGGGCCGTTTGACTAAATGAGAAGGAAAAAAATTGAGCAGAAATGACAATGTAAATAATGTGTTTCCAGACCTTGACTTATTATAAATAATGCAAGAACAATTTTTAATACAAGAAAACACTGTAAGGATTGATCCTCTGAAGTCTTGCATAGTGGAACTATTGCATGAGTCCACTGCATAAGACTAACTGCACAATTTTTACCAACTACAAGGTGAAGTTGCTTTCTGCACCCTTTGCAACAAAACCCAATGAATGGAAATCATGTCTGTAACCTTCTCTATGACCAACCATTTAAGCTGTACATAACAATCCTTTTTGTTGTTATTTTTGCTGATTTCTCTATTTTTATTTTACTAAAAACATTAAAATACAAACTCCCCCAAAAGAAAAAAAAATACAAAAGCAAAATAAAGCTAAACAAAACTACACCAAAAAAAAGTTCATCAAGACAAAACAAACACGTTGTGGTTTATTCTACAGTTTTTCCAGCATTTGGTTGAAATTCAGTTAACAGCATTACATATATAGCATAGGCATCTGCAGTGGAAGAAGAATGTATGTGTGTTGTGGTGTGCAATTCAAGTATGAAAGGACAGGGGATGTGTTGTGTCATCATGTTTCATCATTTGGGTGCCATTGTGATTGGAAATGGATGTCTATGCATCTTACTGGTAAGTCAGATAATCTTATCCCATAAATATTTTCCCACATGTGATAAAAAAAGCCAGGGGTGTCCAGATGGCATGGTCAAAGAAGAAACTGAGATGAATTCAGAGTGATGTTGAGCACCTCTTCTCCCAGATATGTCACATCTGGGCTGTGGCTTACTTCCTGGTATCCACAGCACAAAAGACAAAACAAGACAGACAACAGTGCTACAGACAAGGAGATTTTCTTTGAAGTAACACTGCACATGTAATTTATAGGAAATGAGGCTGTGCCACACTCCTCACCTGTTAAAATTCTATTACTTTTAATAAAGCCCCAAAAAGATAAACAGAACCCAACTTCATCAATTAACATCAGAAGATAACTAAATTTAAAAAAAATTGGTACGCACCTGGAAGTTTTAGATACACTTCTCTTGTAATAGGTTTTGCCAAACTTGCATGACTCACTCTGAAACAAATGGTCTTATCACAAACTGAAGCGGTAGCTCTTAGTTCAAACACGGAAGTTAATTTGTAACAACCATTACAGGCCATATCTAAATCCTCTGTGACCACACCGTTCCTTAGTGAATTATCTCCCAAGAACCACTGAGTACAAATGTTTTTAGGATTGAAATCTGTGACTTCACAAGTTAAATTTACACTTTCTCCATATTCTGCATCACTTGGTTCAATAACAATATTTGAAAGTTTGGGAAAATCTATAAAAGTGACAAGACAGAGAAGTCAACATTAGACAAGGAATCCTTATTAAATACAAAGAATACCCTACTATACCAAGCATCAAATGAGATAAGAATAATTTTTAACATTATATTGTTACCACAAGAAAGAAGGAATCATTGTTCAATGAGAACTTGTGCTATTTTACTATTTCACATAGAACAGTACTCATACATGAAATCAACTCTCAATTGATTTAGGCATATAGCAATTATTTCTGTTTCCCTGCTTCTTGTGTGCATATGTTGGTCATGCAGTAAGATATCAGTGCTTCTCACTATTTGGTTTGTTTCCACCCATTAATAAATGGCATATTATTGTATACCGATATGAACTTAGAAGTAAAATGTGTGTAACAATACCATGCAGTTTATCTGTTTGTATGTCTGTCTATCGCTGTGGTGATGCAGCGGTTAGGCTACTTCTGCTGACTGCTGACTGCCAGTAGTTTAACAGTTCAAATCTCACCAGGCTCAAAGTCAACTCAGCCTTCCATCCTTCAAAGGTCAGTAAAATGAGGACCCAGATCATTGGGGGCAATTTTAAACCGCTTAAAGATGGCTGTAAACACTATGAAGCAGTATAAAAGTCCAAGTGCAATTGCTATCTATCATCTATCTATCTTGACAATTGGTTTCTATTTATGACAGTCACAGAATCCCAGGGTGATGTGATCACCTTCTGACAAGCAAAGTTAATGGGGAATCCAGGTTTAACACCCAGGCTACTACCTTAACAACTAACTATGGAGATTCTCAAGTCATCCAAGTCATGGTTGTCCCAAAGGTGCTTTTTTCAAAAGGCAACTGGACTTTCTGGTTTTTCTTTGAAGATTTTAACCCCTCTTTCAAACTAGCAATCCTACCTGTCCATGCGTTTATGAAGTGGTTGTTTGTTGTACAAGTGATTGTGGTTGTACATTGGGGAAACAAAACAAACACTTCATAAACGCATGGCACAACATAGGAGAACAAACACATCAGGACTAGATTCAGCAGTCCATTTAAAAGACACAGGCCACTCTTTTGAAGACAACAAAGTTCATATTTTGGACAGAAAGGACCTCTGGTTTGAAAGAGGAGTTAAAGAGGCCATCTATGTCAAAATTGATCAGCCCCCTCTCAACAGAGGGGGAGGGATACGACATCATCTATTTCCAATCTACCACACAGTCCTTTCAGCAGTTCCAAGAAGGCTCCACACCAATTTGCACCACTCAGGTGACCCTGATGACACAGAGCGACCTTAACAATCCACTAAAATCCATTTAGTGACCTCCAAGTGACCTTAACAATCCGCTAAAAGAATGCAAATGACTAGCTATCTGCAAGGAGTATAAATCCTTCCATTTCCCTGCATCCAGTCAGAGCTGAAGAAACTTCTTGGACAAGAAGCGAAATGTCTTCAAAGAAAAACCAGGAAGTCCAGTTGCCTCTTGAAAAAAGCACCTTTGGGACAACCAAGACCTAGAATGACTGAGAATCTCCATAGATACTCCAAGAGACAAAGATTTTTTTGTAGCAATGATAACAATCACCTTTCAACATGACTGTATATCCCTCCCGTAAAATGTTCTTGCAATGATTTATTCCAACAAAGAATTCTACTTCATGGTCTTCTGCACTGGGTGTAAAAGTTATTTCACTTGTCCTGGAGTACAGCTTTGGCATTCTGTCCAACCAGGGTTCCTCTGTTTTAATTGTAGCATCCGGGATCTCTTCAAAGCCCTTTTTCCAATAAATGTCACACTCAGGTGGATAGTATTCTGTCAATAAGCAACTCAATGTGATGGATTTCCCACACTCAGGTACAGGGGGCTTACATTCTATTTTGTCAACTTTGGGGGCCAGAACTGTAAATAAAACACAACAGCAAATGACAGAATTAGTATTCACTACAGAGCTGTGAAGTCAAAGCACAAACTTCTCTTCCCACATGACTGTTTAGCTTAAGTACCAAAGTCATCATCCAAATAAATCAAGTGCCCAAATGTATATAAATTACAAATCTGGTAAAAAATAAAATAGAAAATGGCCTCAATGATAAAATAACACCAATGAAGATTTCTACTTTGGTGTGGAAATAGATTTTCGGTTGCTCATGTAATATTCCAGAAAGGCACATTCATGCACTTTAAAAAAAGAGATCCTGTAATCTGCACATAGATGCAAATAAGGCTATTTCCCCATTTTGCACATCCAACTTCTAGCTATTTGGCAGTGGCAAGTGTTACATGAAGCTAAAGAGTAACCTACTCAGCAATGTCCCCTTCTGCTTCAGAAGAATACTGCATGAAAGAACTGAGCTGATTTCAGATACCAAAGTCAAACCCTCTGTGAGAGCATATATGTCTTCCCCTTCAAGGACGTTGGCTCAGGATTCTACTATGGATCTTTATGGCTTTCAGAAATCTACCATCTGCCCAATTGTATAGCAGGGAGGGAGGAAGGGAGGGAAGGAGTGAGGGAAGGAAGGAAGGGATTCTGTGACCTCCTAAATATCAATAGATGTATTTATTATACACAGCTTGTAAGAGACATCTTATTCTGAGATGTATGGAATACTTTTCTGAGAAAGGAAAATTGAATTGAATTCACACCTTGTGGCTATGTGGGAAGAGAAGAATTGAAAGAGGGATCAGCAAGAGAAAAAAATAAGGGATCGTCACTATTATTACAATAGCAGTAAAACTTTATGAGTTAATTGTTAAAAGAGTGGAATTACATCAGAGGAGTAGGATTTATTTATTTATTTTATTGCAAAAAGGAGCTGCACTTTATTGGAATTACTCTGTGCCTTAGGCCTTAAGAGTAAAACACCCAATGTACAATATACCGTGTTTCTCATATAATAAGGCCGGGTCTTCTTTTTTTTTTTGAGCCCCGAAAAAATGGCTAGGGCGTCTTTTTGGGGGTGATTTAATTCCCCCCCCTTGCATCTTTGGGCGGGTGGGCAGCGAAGACTTGGATTTTGACCTCGACGTTGATGGGGCACTTCGTATCGGGGTCAACGCAGGCAGCACCATATCCGGGTGTGCAACAAAAGTACTTCCTAACGGCAAGCCCCCCCACCATTCCCCCCATTTCTCATGTTTTAATATAGGCCTTAATTTGGGGGGAGGGGCTTAATTTCATTTCATGCCTATAAAACATGCTGGGACTTCCTACTGGGGGAGGCCGTATTGTTGGAAAAACAGGGTAGGATAATAAAGACCATAGTTTTTCTCCTCTACTTACCCACAGCGTTCATCTGCCATGCAGATTCTTTGTATGTTTGTGATCCTTCCAGCTTAGCTCTGCAGACAAACCTCTTTCCAGAATCTTCCACTTGGGGGCAATAGTGGATCTTGCTGATGCAAAAGTAAAGCCCGTTAACACCTTTTGTGGGTGGCGTTGAAAAGGAACTGTCTAGAATTTCACCCTCCTTATTCCAACAGACTTCAAGAGTTTCCGGAAAATAAGAATGAATTTTGCAACTCAGAGTGAGCGACTTATTTGATCTTGGCACAGTCGTGGAACAACGAACTTTATGAAGTCTAGGTACGGCTAGGAAGAAAACCAAAAGGATTTCAATTCAAGCAGCAAAAATGTGATGTGTAGAGATATATCCAGATAATAGTGAAGAACCTTCAAAGCCACCATGAGCCTTCCAAAGCTTTGATGACATCTCTTACCATTTTTCCTTGCCCACTATTCCATAGCTGTTATTTACACAAAGCAAGGGAGGACCAAGCCAAACCCATCTGCTAAGGAACCTGGCTGTAGAAAAATCACTATCTCTGTCAGTTGAAAGGGCAAAGGTGTCTTGTTGGATACATCATCCCTGACCACCAAATGGTTTCTTTATGGTGCAGAATAGAAGAAGAGTCACTTACTGATTTTTCTACAGTCAGGTTCCTTAGCAGATGGGTTTGGCTTGGTCCTCCCTTGCTTTGTGTAAATAACAGCTATGGAATAGTGGGCAAGGAAAAATGGTAAGAGATGTCATCAAAGCTTTGGAAGACTCGTGGTGGCTTTGAAGGTTCTTCACTATTATCCATTTAGTTTCCATTTGTATTTGGCTGCCATTATATACATAAAAGAGTTACAGCTGGAAAAACCAAAGGCCTTCCTCCTTTGGGATTATCCATGCTAAATAACCACAGTTTTGTTTCCACTGGAAAGTTCTGTTCTTCTTTAAACACATATAACTAGATAGACAGATAATGTAATGTTCGTGTCATTTGAGTTTTTCTCTCTTTACTTTTGTCTGCCAGTTAACTATTTTTAATCTTTGTGATGTTTCACATATAAACATCAAGCTCTATTTTTTTTTGCTAGCTGAAATGAGTGGTGTATATGTAGCTCTGATCTGAATAAAGGGATTGACTTGAATGTACTGTGTGCAAACTGAACTGAAAATTACCCACAAACAGCAGAGGAATGGTGGGAAATATCTCTGATCTAGATCTCTATCTAGAATTCAGATCAGATACAGGTACTGGAATTTCATGTGATCTTGATTCAATCCCTCTATTAATGCAATCCTAGGTTGCATTAACAGAGGGATAGACTCCAGATCACGTGAAGTTCTAGTACTGCTTTACAAAGCCTTAGTAAGACCACACTTGGAATACTGCATCCAGTTCTGGTCACCCCAATACAAAAAAGATGTTGAGACTCTGGAAAGAGCGCAGAGAAGAGCAACAAAAAAGATTAGGGGCTGGAGGCTAAAATGTACAATGAACAGTTACAAGAATTGGGTCCTGTGTGTCTAGTCTAATGAAAAGAAGGACTAGGAGGAAGATGATAGCACTGTTCCAATATTTGAGGGGCTCCTACAAAGATCAAACTATTTTCCAAAGCACGAAAAGGCAAGAGAAGAAACAATGGTTGGAAATTAACCAAGGAGAGAAGCAACCTAGAACTAAGGAGAAATTTCCTAAAGGTGAAAGCAATTAACCAGTGGAATAGCGTGCCTTTCAAGGGAAGACTGGACAACCATTCGTCTGAAATGATACAGGGTTCCTGCTTGAGAAGAGGGTTAGACTATATGACCGCTGAGATCTCTTTCAACTCTATTGTTCTATGTTCTATCTCGATACTGTAGATGTGAGTTCATTATCCAATATAAAAATGACACTTGAGACAATCTTGTGAATAATGATGTGGAAACATTTTAAACAATCTAAAATTATATTTGTAAAAAACATAATCCGTTAAAAATAATACATTATTTTGGGAAAACTCTACAGATGAAAACAAGAATAGCTCTGTGTCTATCATCAAAAAATGCTTTCCAATGAAGGCAAATTTTAGTTAGTGAACAGACATGGATTCAGCTATACCTCAGCTGGTGAAATGATAAACAGCATGGACAAAAAATTTACACCAATAAAGAGTGTGACATGGAATATCATCTTCTTTACAAATCTAAAGGATACATTATAAGGTAGGAAATGACATTTCCTTTGCAGCCTTGCTTAAGTGGCTTGCCACTGGAATACTTTTCAACTTCCTTATCCAGCCAATACCCTGGAATTCCTAAGTGGTTTTGAATTCAAGTACTAACCAAGATCCACCTTGTTTCCCTTTGAAATGCAAGGTACTCTGAATAATTTTAAAAGCGGTCTCATGAATATCAGATGCAACACATAGTCATAAATAGTGAGATACAAGTAACGCTCTTTCCAGCCCATCCATGCCAAGACATAAATAATATCCTATCACAATTCATATTCAGTGCATGGATTGTAGTCTAAGATATCTGCTGGGACCATGGCTGGACCAAAATTAGCTAAGCCTCCTTTATTTTCATACATTCTGAAACTTAGTTCTCTTATAAACCATAAGATAACTTTAAAATTTCAACATCATTTAGTACTTTGCCATAATCCTCACTTACCTATGACTTTAAATGATTTTTCCTTAGTATACGGTCCATGATGAAACCCCTTATGTTTAACTTCTAATAAAAGTTCAAATTTCTTCAGCTTCCGTATATCTGGATTTATGCAGATTTCCCCCTGGAAGTCATAGACGTTTTTTGATTTTGATTTCAACTCTGTTTTAACTTGAAACATGTCCTCCAAGTTCCCAAGGAAAGGAAAATTTTCATCATCTTCTGTAGGTTTTTCAACTGATACTGTATTCCAAGAGGCTATTTTCCGTTTTGGATTCTGAGATTCAGTTACTAAGAAGAGGTCTACCTGCAAAGCCTTGGGTCGAAAGTGTGTAATCAAGCATTGCAATTCTGTTTTTTCCAAATGCTTCAGTTCCTCACTTCCAACTATTTGCACAGATGGTGGGTCTACCAAAAGAAAAAAAAGGAAAATGAAAACCCCATTGGTTGAAATGTTGTAGCAAATATTTTAGTATTCTTTCAACATTTTACAAAGCATTTTTCTATTCATAAAAACAGTTATATGTGTTTCTACTTAGTGCATTTTGTTAGGAATCTGTCCACCAATTAGTTGGGTTGGCAATATATAAACCAACAATGTATGTTTGTAGCTTTAAGACAAAATCACTGTATTGATTTATACTATATTCTGATTGATTGATTATATAGCAAATTACCATAAGGGGGAGCTAGAGATCATAGCTTGCTCTCTCTGACATTCTGTCTCTCTGACATTCTGTTGCTATCTAAGGTTCTCTGTTGTATTTATGCTGTGCTTATACTTTGGTATTTTTGTTTACTGTAAATGACAAAAGCAACCGGTAAGACGACTTTGTAATTGGATATTCTTTGGACTGTAAAACGTATATGGCCTGGACCGTTTATTGGACTGTGCTATTTCTTAAAGTAAACTTTAACTCAGTTTAGTGTATCTGTGTGTGGCTGAATAATTATTCATAACTACTCTCATAAATGTTTCCATGTGCATATTCTTGTTACTCAAGGGTTATTCTGTACATATCATTTCACTTCTCTGATATTGTGCGTTTCTTGAATTGGCAAAAAAAAAAAATGCAGGCATACTCTGGCTGCTCCAATAACCAAACCCTATTCTGGCTCAGGAATGAGACAAAAGACTGATACACATTTATGGGGAGAGAAGTTAAGAAAACTGACTGTTAGGTTCTCGCTTTATTTTCATTCTCACCAAGGATAGACATCCATCCATTACTCTCTTTAATATGGGATGGAGGGAGCAGAGAGGAGGTGAATTCCCACAAATGGCCAGACCAGTAAGTTTATTCATCTGCCAAAATTTGCTCTGATTTTGTATTTGTATTCTGCATAGGTATTAGAGTCTTGTTCCAGCTGATAATTGGGTTCCCTTCCTTAATGCTGTTCTGGAAAATGATCTCTAAAAAGATTATATAGGTGATCCTCATTTAGTGATAGCCCTGTTTAGTGATAGTTCAGAGTTACAATGCTGATAAGAAAATAATTTTGTAAACAGTTCTTGCACATATGACCTTCACAGGTCTATAAAGCAAAAGGAAGATGAAGTAAGACTATAAATGCCATTTTACTTAGTGACTGTTTCACTTAATGGCTGAGTTACCAGACCCAATTGTGATCACTAAATGAGGATTACCTGTAATTTGATATGTGCAACATAATTGCCTATATTTAATCTGTTTTCCATTTTCCCCTATTGGTCTTTGTCTCTGCATGGCTCTTCTCTGAGAATTTTCCAACAATGATACTTTAAAATTAATTTTCACAAATATAAATTTTGACTACAATTTTAAAGACAAACGATGGTACTGATAAGGCATATTTAGAATGACTTACGTTCCTGGAAAAATACAAAGTACAGAAGCAATCCAGCCATAAAAAAAAGGAAGCCTAAAACCAACCCAATTATTAACTGAGTAGTCGAGTGAGGTTCTGTAGAAAGATAATAAGAAAAGAAATTATGTTCCATCAGATGCACTCAAAATATTGATTGCTCTTGGTACTTTTAATAAGCAAGCATTTTGCATGTAATTACGTAATAAGAAACAAACAATGCTGATATAGGGTATTCTGGCATAAGCAAAACAGTAAGCTATGAGAGGAAATTACTGCACCATCTAATAGCACAACCTAGTTGAGTCTGGGGGATAATCCAATCTCACATTTCATTAATAGATTTTAAAAGCAGGATCTTAAAATATATATAGAATTTATGAGATGTGGACCAATTCTTGTCAGTCACCACAGGCCTCTCAGTGCATACAAAATATTTTGGGTGGTGAGTTTCCTCCAATAATGTACTACATAATGAATATTTCCTTACTCCGAAGCACAAACACCATTTTATTGTCAATTGGTACTCTTGGCCTGAAATTTTATTTTGTGGAATGTTTTATCAACATGAACAATTTGAGGTCATATAGAAATATTGCAGTACTAGCTTGGAGTTCTGGGCCTTGGAGTCCCAATGCACTTGACTTTATCTTTCTATTTCTCTTCTGTTAGTTATCTCACTTTTTCATAAACACTTTCTTTTTAGATAAAACATTGTAGACACTTCCATAATTATTTGGGGGAGGGCATATGCTTCTATCTGAGACTGTAAAATTATAGGTAAAAGTTGTTCACCACCCAGGTCAACTCTTCTGAAAAATCAGGATGACCATTGATTTAATACTTTAAGTACAGATAATCCTCAACTTACGACCAGGATTGAGAGCCCAAAATTTCTGTTGCTAAGCAAGAGAGCTGTTAAATCTTTCATAACGAGTACCTGTTACTGTTAAAGTCACACTGTAGACTGGATAGCTGGCAAATGACTTATGCTTCACAATACAATTATAGACGTTTCCTTGATCTTGTGAAGATGGTTGAAGTCTCAGTTTACTGGTGATGTTGTAAGTACCATCATCATTTCTCACAGATGATCCCATGTAAATATCCTCTACAAGTACACTTTTATCCGACGTATGCTTAGAACGCTTTTGCCAAAGAATGACAATTGAATCAGGATAGAATTTATTCACTGTGCATGTCAGTGTCTTTACACTTCCTTTTTCAATTTCAAGTTCCTTGGGAAACAGTTGGACAGTTGGTTCAACTATATTGTATTTGAATAAAAATGGAATTGGTTATTGATTTTTCTACATATGTTGTATTTTATTTTGCCTTTCAGCCTCCCAAACAGCATTTACATTTAACATCCAATTCAAATAACAGTTAAGGGGAAAAGAAAAAAAAAACACTACAGATTTCCCAGAAACTATGAAAGAAAGAAAGAAAGAAAGAAAGAAAGAAAGAAAGAAAGAAAGAAAGAAAGAAAGAAAGAAAGAAAGAAAGAAAGAAAGAAAGAAAGAAAGAAAGAAGGAGGGAGGGAGGGAGGGAGGGAGGGAGGGAAGGAAGGAAGGAAGGAAGGAAGGAAGGAAGGAAGGAAGGAAAGAGGGAGGGAGGGAGGGCAAAGCGTAGGCATGTGGTGGAAACAAGGTTGTTTTGAAAGCATAAAAAATATGGAGAGATGTGAATGGTTTGGTATAAATTAGTTTTAGCCATATTTCTTTCTTGTTTATTTTCATGCATTTACAGTAATTTCTTTGCATGTTATTTTTTTTTTTTCTGTACTTTGCAGTGTTACTTATCTCCAAGGAGAGCAGCATGATGCATATGTAGGTATTACGGGGAGAGACTGCTGATGGAAAAGATGATTTTTTAAAATGTAGCAGCTAGCAGGATGCATGCTGTAATGAGTATAGAGGCCTTGAAGGACAGAAGGAATAGCAATAATCAGATAACTGAGACTTGAGCCCAGGCCAAGAAAATGGTTTGGGAAAAGGCTTTGAACAGCCTCCTCTCGCCTAATTCATATGAAGATTAAAGACAGAGGAAGAGAAGAAATCCCCTGCAAGATCTTATAAATAAAAATAGCTTTGGGCCTCAAAGTGTCCATTTCTAAACCTAGTATAGTTTATACAGCTGACAAATGAACATACATGACAATAGAGCAGAAGGAATGACTTCATCATCTCCAGGCTCCTTCCTGTATAGGCCATTCTGTCCTATCCAAATGTAACTTAATTTTTTTTTAAAAAGTCACAACGAAGCAGAATCACAAGCAACATTTGTATGTAGAATCTCTCTCTCTCTCACACACACACACACACACACACACACACTCTCACTCTCTCACATGCTAATTTCCAGATTCCTCCAGCTTTTGTTTAGGAGATATAAGTTCATAGTGTCATTATTACACCATTCAAACCCCATCAAATATTTTTAATTTTTGTGTTGTGTTTCATGTGCCATTATATCTAACTCTTTAGGTAGATAATAGCAGAACACTGACAGGCAAGACCAACCAGAACCCAATGAAGATAGAAGAAGATATGCCTAAATTACCTTGAAACATCTAATAAGTATGTCTTTGTTTCTCACTGATCATCCAACCTTCCCAACAAGATAGCAGATAGCAAAGCCTCATCACTTGTCTATTCCCTTACACCCTTCAGCTTGAAGGAAGTTTCTTTTTAAATACCTGTAAAGCTAAGAACAACCTATAGGTGTCTCGTTCTATGGCTGAAGGCAATATCATGGAGGTATGACATAGAAAATATATTTGTTTATTTCAATGTAGGCACTGCCTGACTGCAACTAATTAGTTGCCCTAATAACAAGAGTTATCAAGACATCTTTATGATGTGGTTAAATAAAATGAGAAAAGTGAACAAGAATGGTCCATGTTGACTCTTCGTAATTGCCAGAAGAAATCCTCGCAGTCTTTTTGGCAGGATTTTAGAAGCGGTTTGCCACTGCCTCCTTCCTAGGGCTGAGAGTGACTCACCACCCATCTGACTTCATGCCTAAAGCATGCCTAGAAGTCCCGGTTTCTAGCCTGATGTTCTAACCATAACACCGTAGCGATTCTTGAGACGATATAAAATGAGGAAATAGGGAGGGTCTTTCTATGTTTTCTATCTTCCTCTTTCCAGGGTTCCCCTTTCTTACAAGGATCTAGTTGGAGGGTGCCCATCATAAGAGGGTGACATTTAGAATACAATCTTATGCAACCAGCAGTCAGATAAATCTTAATAGAGTTTAAGAATTCCAAAAGAACAAGTTTGTTCTTTGGAAAGATGTGCCACAAACGTCACTTACCAACTAGATCTAAAATGGTGGCTCCTTCAACTTTAGCAGAAGCAACAATCACAACGCATATATATTTGCCCTCTTCATGAAGCTGTATTTGTGGAAGGAAAAGGGAGGCATTTCCATTTTTTAATTGAATTGTATCCAGTCTTGAACCATCTCTATTTGAAAAATGTTCTCCAGCAACAACTGAATAAAGTTTTTCTATTTTATTCCTTTCAGATGTCTCCAAATACCAGATGAATATTGATTTTTTTATATCCAGTTCTGGAGGAGCGTAGTCAGAGATTTTACACTGAAGTGTCACATTTGTACCCAAGACTGCTGTCTTCCGAAACGGCATGCTTACTTTCAAGGCTTTTTCACACAACAAAATGAAAAAAAAAAATGGATTGCAGATTATTATGATTAATTGTATTTTCTTCTTCCCTCCCCTCCCAGTCCTCACATTCATAAAGAGCATTGCGAAACAGCAGTGGTGGAATGGCAAGAGGCAGAGAGCAATTAGAGGTCATAAAGACTAAGTGGGCTATTGACTACTTTTGGAGTAAGCCAGAATTTGGCAAGGAGTTACACAATCCAGGTGAAACAATTGTGACTGCATAATTACAAGCAAATTACTACAATGGATAGTTTTGTTTTTCCTTAGCTAATTGCAGTTCATCTGTGATCCAGCTGGAATGTTTCGATAAGGAGTCAATTGGCATCAATCCAGTATGACAATAAAGAAACACAAAAAACTCAGAGCACCCAGTTCTGGCTTAATAGAATGTCTGAACCCAGCCCTTTTGGAGAATCAGAGGGCAAGATGCAGCAATTTACTAAATTTAAACCAATAATCAGAAGTTTGTAGCATTTCATTTGCAATCTGTAAATCTTATAATACTCATTTGACTAATCCCCCCCCCCCCCAATATAGTGTCCCTTGTAAAAGGGACACCTGTAAATTAATTTCACCATGATGAGTTTTTTGTCAAAACTAAAGGAAAGATCAAAGTAATACTTGCATTTTGAGTCTGGGTTTTATTAAATGATGAACATATTAGATTATATTTGGAGGAGTATAAGCACTGAGGTTGTAAGTCACGGTTTACGGTTCAGGGTTTATCAGGAGACCAGGCTATTGATAGTTTAAACAAGGAGTTAATAGAAATAACAGCTGAACAGTAATAGCATTGCCGAGTTGAGGTGTTTTCAAATTCATACACAGATCCAGAGAACGGAGTTTAACGAATAAGAGGGCTCGTTCCTCTGAGGAACCGGTTAAGGAGATTACGTTTGCTCTGAGCGAAAAACGTATTTTGCAAAACGCTGTCGACGGCGCTCGTTGGAGGAGCGAGGCCAGGTGGCTCTCGCCTCCAGAGACCGATCTCTGACCTAAAGTCTCGTCCACCTGCCCCAAACTCCGTCCTCCTCCACCTCCCCAAGTCACAACATTTCTCACGCTCGACAACTTCTATTGCATTTGCCCTTGAGGCGCCATCGCCTCGTCCTCAACTCAAAACAGCAGAACGCAGCAAAGCACTTCCGCCATCCTCTCCCTGCCACCTGCGTTCCGGCCGTCTTAGATGTACAGCAGGCGCGCATATATATATATAATCAATATATATATATATGTAATATATATAATTATATATGTAATATATATAATCAATATATATATGTAATGTATAGCAGGCGCGGAAGTGCCCAGAGGCTTTTGCGCTTCGTTTTTACTTCCTTACCTGCCAGGCCAGGAACACAGCTGAGACACACCCAGAGGCTAAAGAAAAAGCAAAGTCGCCTTCGAACGGAGTTTGATTCCTGAAAATTTATGTGGATACATCCAGGTAGTTTTCTTGTAAAGTGAGTCGCCATTGCCCTCTTTCCTTTTGATTTCTCAGTCTGGACTACAGTTTTCAGATAATCGCGCTCTAAAGAGTAATCAGAATCGACCCCAGCTACACAGCTCTTTAGATCTCTTGCCTGAACGACCAAATCTCCTCTCTGCGAGGAAGGATCTTTGTCCCGGAAACGTTCATTTTCACTTCTGGTCTTCAAATGAGTTTCTGTTGCTGAAAAACTGGGAAAGAAAATAGTTACCTCATGCCGTTTCAAAGTCTGAAGGTAGCATACTCAGGCATCTGCTTAATAAAGGAGGACCAAGAGTACACACCGGGACTATGGAAGTCTTTTAGATCTCCTTTAAGTGGAAGACTGCTAACAGAGACTTCTACTTAATTTTTAAAAAGTCAAAAACTTGCATTTAATTAGATTAGAAAACATTTAATATACTGAAATTTCCTGTCGGTGAAAACAAGTAATCAGTGTAACAGCTTGCCTCTATTCCTGGTTTAGCAAAGGGGGAAAAACTCACAATATGTTATGTGAAGTGACTATGTGAGTTTGACACCAGTAGTTTGGAAAACCGGCAAATACCACCTCTGACTGGCCCTGACCCATCTATTCTCTGTCTCCTGAATCCAAGCTGATCAGCTGGGTCTTCCTTTGTTGCCCTGCACAGGAGAACAGAGCTGAAAGGCAGGTTAGTGGGGTGTGGAGGGAATGGGGATTTTGCATTATCCTTCCACTGCCATGCCCACCAAGCCACGCCCACAGAACCGGTAGTAAAAAAAAAAAAAATTGAATCCCACCACTGGTATACAGTGCTGGAGCAGGAGGTTGGACTACTAGAAGGTCTCCAAGTCTACTATTCTATGATCAATGTACTATGTTTTACTGGGTCAAAATATACTGTATTTTTCTTTAAAAAAAAAAAAAAAGGCAGAGGCCTTTAGATTCTTGAACAACCTTCAAAGCTCAAAATCTACCTCCTCCATAATTCCTGCTAAAGTGCCTGAATGTAATCAATTTAGACACTGTAATCAGCAGCAGCATTCAACATCAGAAGTACAATAGTAGAACAATCTCTCTTCGAAGCCTTATTTGCAAATTCTACCTTGACACTGTTTTGCAAGACAGTCAAAATAAAACTTTTCATAGGGCCTTCGAGCTGGAGCCTAACACCTGATCAGTGTTTTATTGGAACATTTTATCTCTGTACTTTTGTCACATTTTGTTTTGATTTGCTTGCAATCTACCATGAATTGTTCTGATTTGACAGCACGTACAAATTACTGTTTTGACAGGCCTTTGTTGCGTGCCTTTGTAACTGCTGAGGCTAAGGAATTCTGATAGTGGATTGTCTGTCTATTCTGTGCAGAATACCCCTCTTTTCCTCAGCAAATGATGCCAGGGATTATGGGTTGGGGGCGGGAGGGCAATCCAAAGTCAATTTTAAAACTGGGCCTTTTCTGCCAGCAGCACAGGAACGTTCCTCACCTGCTACCTATGGGAGGAGAAATAGTACGGTAATCATCAGCATTTCTGACCTGAATAAGGTTTCCACAATGAATCCATTCTTTACCCATAAACACCATGTAGAATAAAAGCTGGAACAGAACGGAGTAGGCCAGATTTGGCCCTCACAATAGAATTAACACCAGAAATACTGAGGAGGGTTAAATACCTGTGACAATAGTATTTAATAATTTTCTTTTCAAAATTATAAATGGTCCTGAGCGCTGTGGAATAGGTTTTCATTGAGGATATCTCTGTACTTTGCTCCATTCAGTTTTCCCTTAACCCTAACCATCTCCCAGTCCCTGCTGCTTAAAAGCACCGCCACAGCATGATGCTTCATGCTTCACTGTTGGGATGATATTGGGCAGGTGATGAGCAGTGTCCGATTCCCTCCAGACATAATGTTTCGAATTGAGGCCAAACAGTTCAATCTTAAGTTTCATCAGACCAGAGAATTTGTTCCTCACCGTCTGAAACATTTTCAGGTGCTTTTTTTGGCAAACTCCAAGCGGGCTTTCATGGTTTTTTTTTTTTTTTGCATTGAGGACAGGCTTCCGCCTAGCCACTCTGCCATAAAGCCCAGATCCTGGAGGGCTGCAGTGATGTTTGCCCTTCTGGAAGACTGTCCCATTCCCATCTCCACACAGGATTTCTGGAGTTCAGTCAGAGTGACCATCAGGTTCTTGGTCACCTCTCTTACTAAGGCCCTTCTCCACCAATTGTTCAGTTTGACTGGGAAGAATCCTGGTTGTGCTAAACTTCTTCCATTTGAGAATTATGGAGATCACTGTGCTGTTGGGAACCTCCAATGCAAACAGACATTTTACTGTAGCCTTCCTCAGATCTGTGCTTTGCAGTAATCCTGTCTTTGAGCTCTGCAAGCAGTTCCCTTGACCTCATGGCTTTAGCTCTGCTATAGTATGCATTGTCACAGGAATGGGATTCAAACATTTTTACTACTGGTTCTGTGGGGATGGCTTGGTGGGGTGGGGTGGCTTGGTGGGCGTGCCTTGGTAGGCCTGGCAGGGGAAGGTTACTGCAAAATTCCATTCCCTCCCCACCCCACTAACCTGCTTTCCAGCTCCATTCTTCTGTGCAGGGCAACAAAAGAAGACCCAGCCAATCAGCTGGTACTCAGGAGGCAGATAAGAGATGGGGGCGGGGCCAGTCAGAGGCGGTATTTGCCAGTTCTCTGAACTGCTCAAAATTTCTGCTACCGGTTCTCCAGAACTGGTCAGAACCTGCTGAATACCACCTCTGCATTGTCTATAGAGAAGCGTGTGCCTTTCCAAATCATGTCCAATCAATTTAATTTACCACAGCTCAACTCCAGTCAAGGTATAGAAACATGTCAGCAACTGTCAAAAGAAACAGAAGGCACCTGAGCTAAATTTCAAGTGTTTCAAACAGTCTGAGTACTTACACCAATGAGATATTTCAATTTTTTCTTTTTAATAAATTTGCAGACATTTCTAAAATTCTGTTTTCACTTTGTCATTATGAGGTAGCGAGAATAAATGAGAAAAAAATGAATCTCAACAACTGTAGAATCATGCTGCAGCAGAACAAAATTGACAAAAGTGAAGTCGGTCTGAATACTTTCTGAATGCACTGTGTATGTTTTTAATTTCATCCAATGTTAAAACATCACTTAACGATTATTACAATTATTATGACAAACGGAGGAGCTGTAGAAATTTAAAAAAAAGATTGTACAGTATGTGCTGAGTTAACATGCCATGATTTTTAAAAAGTCTTATTTATGATTTCTATATGCTTTTGTGTTTTTTTTTTTTTCATTCCACAGCCACTGGAAGAAAAGAAGCAGTAACCAAAAGAAACTGGGTCTGAATTCAATTTATTCTGATTAAAAATTATACAAAGCACAAGTGGAACAACATTCTTCTTACAAATATTGCACTTGAGAGCATATGGATATGTACAACTTTGCCATTCTTTACATCCAAGGTATTTTTGTCCTGATAAGGTTCAAGATGAAGTTGTGCAGGAACCTGCTGATAAGCCAACCACTTCCATTATAAATTGGCCAACACCAGAAATGTACCACCTGAATACAACTTGCTTTGAGAAGAAATGAATATAACTTATCTTACAATCCATTTGGAAATGAAATGCTACAGTTGATTGGATGGGTGATCTTCTTCCTCTTCTACCTATAGATAGTTCAAATTCATGGTGTTTCCCCCCCCCCCCCCACTTCTCAGTTCTAAAATCCACTGCTATCAAATTCCAATTAACAATATCTGGGTGAAAAAGTATGCCGTCTGAAATTGTGCTGTGAAAGTTACTTTCCTTTATAACCAGCCCCTTAAGCTATACACAGCATCACAGGTTCCAATCGATTTTATAGTCAGGGCAAACATCATCCCATTTCCAATTGTCATTGTCCCCGGTGCTGTGAATAGTTTCAGTGGCCTCTGTGGGTGATCATACTCCATCTCTCTTTTCAAATTTTACTTGGTAGGGAGTAGGACATTTACGAGACATCGATAACCTGAATAGTTTTGAAGCACACTGAAAAAGACAATAACTGGGATTGGATTGTGCACTATCCAATTCTTTGATTGTATTTATAACTTAAAACAAAGGGATGAATGCCATATAAAACTAAAGGGCAATATATTAATAGAGTTATAAAAATGTGCATGATTGTAAATAAAAAAGAAGATAGCTTTTACCAGTCATATACCCACAGGAAAGGTTCACAATATGCATTCAAGATGTTGATTCTAGAAAACGGAAAACTTTTCTGTGGAAGCTTCTATTGATTGGCTAGTTGGGTCTACAGTATAAGAAATAAATAACTAAGCCATGAATACTCTTTTGGGTTACAACTTCATGATCCAAATAAGAATTCATTCAACATGGAGTTCCCAGTGGTTCCTTCCATTTGGCTGCCCTATGCCATGCAATATGTCCTAGAACTACACAGAGCAAACAGGGAAGTATCAGTTAGCTTAAAAAAGGGAACAAACTCCATTCACAAGCCTAACAACAGTCTGACTGCAAAAAATAATAATAATAATCCAATATTATCTTTCTAACTATAAGGGGCAAGTTGTGAGAACTTACTACTTTATAGACCCTTTACGACTTTACATTCTGCTTTTGGCACATTTTGCCATTGATTCAATTACAGCCTTGGGTAAGTGAGATTAAAGGAAAATACTGAACAGGGAAGAGGCCTGAATACTCCAATTAATCCAAGAGAGAAAGAAAACTTGCACAGGGTTTTCAAATTATCCAGTTGGACTCCCATGGTCCTTAATAAGATCCAAAATGAGAAACTTCCTAGTTCTATGTAATATGTAAAGCATGAAAGGGTCACTCAGGAAAGAACAGTTTTTTTAAATAGTTAAAATTGTTTTATCAAAAAGAGAATTTAATCCATTTGGAGGTCATGATCAATATTGTGCAAATCTTGTTAATCAGTAACAAGGGACCCTTTTCCTTTAATTTTTGTTAAAAGAGGGTGTTCTTCATTTTGTTATATACAAAAACTCTGGGTTTTATTTTTAAACACGCCTATATAAATAATTATACATTATGTTCCATTTCCTGGAAATAAAATTATAATTCTTCAGTAATAAGATGGCTTTGTGTTCTTATTTTTTAAATCTTTCCCTTCCTTCTGTCACAAAGAAATGTTGCCTTTGGAAAATAATTTGGATTTTAAGTTTTAATACAAATTGAGAATTTAGACCAGCAAACATTTCTATTTATATCA